GTGTGTGTGTGCCTGTGTTTGCTAAGTCACTTCAGTCGCATCTGACATTTTGCAAGCCCATGGACTGTAGCCTGCCAGGCTCCTCTGTCCATGGGATTCTCCAGGCAAGAATACTGGAGTGGTTTGCTGTGTCCTTCTCCAGGGAATCTTCCCAACACAGGGATCGAACCTGCGTCTCCTGAAGTTCCTGCATTGCAGGTGAATTCTTTACCACTGAGCAACCGGGGAAGTCCTTACATGTGTGTGTGTGTGTGTGTGTGTGTGTGTGTGTGTGTGTGTGTACACTTTTTCAGATTCTTTTCTGCTATGAGTTATCACAAGATACTGAATATAGTTCCCTGTGCTTTGCAGTAGGTCCCTGTTGTTTATCTGTTTTATATAGTAGTATGTATCTGTCAATCACTAACTCCTGTTTTATCCCTTCCCAACATTTCCCCTTTGGTCACCATAAGTTTGTTTTCTATGTTTGTGAATCTATTTCTGTTTTGTAAATAAGCTCATTTGTATCTTTTTAAAAGTTATATTCCACATATAAATAATATTATACGATATTTGGTTTTCTGTGTCTGACTTACTTCACTCAGCAGGACAATCTCTAGATCCATCCATGTTGCTATAAATGGCATTATTTTGTTCTTTTTATGGCCGCGTAACTATGTATATATATACACACCACATTTTCTTTATCGATTCCACTGTCAGTGGACATTTAGGTTGCTTCCATGTCTTGGCTATTATAAGTAGTGCTGTTATGAACATTGGGATGCATATATCTTTTTGACTGAGTTTTTGTTTCTTCTGAATATATGCCCAGAAGTGGGATTGCTGGATCACATGGTAACTCTATTTTTAGTTTTTTAAGGAACCTCCATACTGTTCTTTATAGTGGCTGCACCAATTTCATCCCCACCATTCCCAGTGTAAGAGGGTTCCCTTTTTTTAAATTAATTAATTTATTTATTTTACTTTACAACATTGTATTGGTTTTGTCATACTTTGACTTGAATCTGCCATGGGTGTACATGTGTTCCCCATCCTGAATTCCCTCCCACCTCCCTCCCCATCCCATCCCTCTGGGGTTCCCTTTTTTTACACCCTCTTCCATTTCCTTCTTAATGAAAAAAAGTTGTCACCTTTTTTTTTTTTCAGATTTTGGATGATATTTCTCTTTAGATTCTGAATTTTTATGCTTCCCTCAGGCTTTGGCATGAGCCTGTGTGTGTGTGTATGTGTGTGTAATTATTATGAAAATGTGGAAGAACTTTTATAAACTAAACCATGAAATAAATTAATGTCTTTCATCCCCATATGGGTGTATCAGTGTGTGTGTCTCTGAGTAACTAAAATATACTCCTCCAATAACTGAACCAGTTTGTCTTGGCTGGGAAAAGAGGGACTGAGAACAGCGTGGGCTCCCAGGGCGCAGGAGGGAGGAAGGACAGCCCACAGGGGCGGAAAGGGTGTGAGGATGAACAGGCAGTGTTGGACCACTTGAATGTCTGTAGCAGAGCAAGATGTATTGTCTGTGGCTGCTCATTCCCAGCCTTTCCCCTTCGCCTCAGGCTGCTTAGAGATGGGAACACAGCTTACCAAGCTGAGGTGGTGACAGTCGTAACATGAATTATCCACATGGTATCTATGATTGTCTCGCCCAGTCCTGCATGTGAGCTCTCAGAGGCCCAGGAGGAGAACGGGAAGGACTCTTAACCGTATGCCCATGTAGGTTCCTCACTTTAGAGATGAAGAGGCCTAGGGGAAAATTAAAGAGCAGGGCCAGCATCACATAACTAGTTAGGGTCACATTTCAGGGTCCTTAAGTTCTGATGCATAACCTTGAAGTCTAGCAGGCAGAATTATCATAAGAGGTCCAGGGTCTTCTGCTTTTTCCTTACCAGGTATTGGTGTGCACAGCACTCACTCCTCAATGAGAATATGCACTCCGCTATTTAACCCACATGCAGTAACTAAGGGACTTCCCTGTTTGGCTCAGACAGTAAAGAATCTGTGTGCAATGCAGGAGACCCAGGTTCTATCCCTGGGTTGGGAAGATAGAAGAGAATGGCTACTCACTCCAGTATTCTTGCCTGGAGAATTCCATGGACAGAGGAGCCTGGCAGGCTGCAGTCCATGGGGTTGCAAAGAGTCAGAAATGACTGAGTGATTAGTAACTAATAGTAACTGAACTCATTACAAGGCATTCCATACAGATAATTTGGGGCTGGAATTCCCTGGAATCAAAAATGTAACTGTGAGTAAACATGTGCAAAGGCTTATGCTTTGCATTAAAATTTAAGTGCTGTCTGGTTAAATCTATATTCTCCTTCTTTGAGAATATATCTTAAAGCTACAGTGGAGGAGAACTCTGGCCAGTTGTCTTAAACATGGAGGAGACTTTCTGGCAAAGTTGAGGATTTGCATTTTTACACTTCTTCTTCCTCTTATAAATAACCAAGTTGACTGAAAGGAGACTGTGAATATTTTTGGAATAGGAGAAATCTTATCTAGACTTGAGGCACAGACTTCTAGAGGTTGAGAGGTTGCTAAGAAGCCCACCGTTATCATGACCACACTCATATCCGCTGAGTGCCTTGGGGCCTCACTGCCCGCCAGCCCTATATCACTGACACATGCTACTTTTGCCAGCCCTTCTTCCTGGATTCTTACTTCTTTCTTTCAGCTCTAGTTCCTTTCTCTACTGCTGGAGGAGATCCCAAGAGGACTTGGGCTAGACTGACCATAGGATGAGGAGCTATTTGATATTTGCTCAGGGGCAAGAATATGGATAGAAAATAACTACTGATTGGGAAGCTTTTTGGTCTTTGGATTAGTATCTCATGAATTGTGCTCCAAGTAATTCAGTACTCCAGATGACAAAAACTATTCTGTCCCAAACAAGTTCTATGTCCAAACAAGTATGGGGCACAAAGGATTAAAAAACATTGTTGTAGGACTTATTAGAACCCTTAATGTAACAGTTCTCAGGTACAGTATGAATCTTCAAAAGGTTGGTATGGCACATTTTTCTCAAGCACATTTAACCACTGATACTACTTTTTTTTTTTGCAAAGTATCACACAGGACCAGAGTTTATAAACACAATTTGGGAAGGGCTATTCAGCATAGACACTCAAAACTTATAGGTAAGTTAGAGTCTTTCAAAGTTTGATGTCTGGCAAATTGGTGTAGGCATTTTTCAGAGAATAGAAATGTGTTCTCTTACAATCTTCATTGATGCGAAGGTTGATATTGCTGTTGAAGAACTGAGAGTATGAACTTCATAATGGAGTATGAACTTCAGTGATGATTATTACTAAAACTGGATATGTAAACGTGAAAGGGAAGGCATCTTGAGAAGTGGACATATTTCAATTCACTAGGTTTTATTCAAACACTAGGCACCCTGGAATTTTTTTTAAATAGATCTGTTTTCAAACTGCTTTTTAACTTTATATTGACATAATAATGATGTACCAATGAATAAAATGATACAGAATACATTTTTTATAAAAGACTAATGTTGATTTATTTTTTTTACTGGAAGTAATAGAAATGATAAACAAGGGGCTAGTTTTATTTTAGATATGAAAGTAGATAGTGTATCTGAGGACAAGTCTAAACATGCCTTGGTTGATGTCAGCATGACTGACTAGACTGGAAGAAACTAGAACTTGGATTTAGAAACTGTCCTGCAAATAGAGTAGTCACTGAAAAGGCACGCTGAGCTGCCCATTACAGAAACCAATGGATGTGACACTGGATACCCTGGTGATTGTGTTCTGCCCATAAAACCATGTAAAGTAGTTGTCTCTCGGGTATTGTATAGAGTTCAGGGTGGATCATATGGAATATCATCTGGCAAAAGAAAGGCAGGGGGATTCTTCTGGGGGCACCTGCTCTACTAAGCAGACTACTGATATACAAAGGGCTTAGGTACGAGGAATAAAGCAAGTCCTGGAAACTAGGATCAGATCTAGGACACAAGGGTGGGGCCAGCCTGCAAACACAGCTGGGCTGACTTTGAATCCTAGGGTTGGTTAGTCCAGACCTGTTGACATATGCTGTTCCAGGTCCTGGAGATGAGGAGTGGTCTGATCCTGATAATGTTTAGGGGTGAGAAAGGAAAGTCTTCCATGGGCAGAGGAGAAAAGCAGGGACTAGACAGAAGTTAGGACACTCAGAGATCCTAAGCCTTTTCTTTTGTAACAACAGTGATACCACTGGGTGTTTCATCCAAGTCTATATTGGATGTAATGAACTCATCTCTGAAATACCTCTCTCGGTGTTCTTGGGGAGACTGGGAGAAATGAGGGTGGTTCATACTCCCTGTAGTGCCTGTGACATTTGAAATTTGATGGTAGCTCAGTTGGACCTCTCTTTTGTCTCAATGGTTGTTAGTTCCTTGAGAGCATGGGTCATAAAATCAGAAGCAACATGTACAACTGTCACTTGAACTCTTTCAATATGCCAAATGCTTTAAAAAAAAAAAAAAGAGGAGTGTTATTATCTCTACTTTACAGACAACAGAGCTGATCTTCTAGAACGTCAGATAGCTGTTCAAGTCCTCAGAGGACTGTGTGTGCTTTCATTTAAGACCAATGGCTCTCAACCTGGGACGTTTTAAAAAATATTGAGTCATGTACCCCATCCTCAGCTATTTGGATTCATTCCACTGGGGCTGACATTTGGACATCTGTATATTTCAACACCCTGAGGTGATTTTAATGTGCAACCAGGGCTCAGAATCTTGGCCTTCTATCATGTTGCCTTGTTGTATTGTTATCCCTGGTGTCCAGTACAACATTCACCCAAGACAAAGGTTAGAGACATGTTTATTGATTAGTTCAGAAGGTGTTTGTGGCTGAAGGGAAGAGCAGGGGCTGAATGCCACTAGAAGTTATAAACTGTTCCCGTTAGAGGTTGGAAATGAACACTGTTTCCAGAAGACAGAGGCTGGCTATTCATTATATGCTTAGAGATATTTTGCAAACCTTCCATTGCAGGTGGTGTTGTCCTCAACCCAGCCTATTATGGCATGCCTGGCCACACCAACATCATGATCCATGAGGTGGGGCATGTCCTGGGGCTCTACCATGTCTTCAAAGGGGTCAGTGAAAGAGAATCCTGCGATGACCCCTGCAGGGAGACCGTGCCGTCCATGGAGACAGGAGACCTCTGCGCCGACACTGCCCCCACTCCCAAGAGTAAGCTGTGCCAGGACCCAGAGCCTGCCAATGACACCTGTGGCTTCACCCACTTCCCAGGGGCTCCATTCAGCAACTACATGAGTTATACAGGTATCACCATTGTCCTGATGGATTTCTTTTCTGTTAAGATTACATGGAAGCCTTTGTGGGCTGGGAGGGTGGAGGTATGAGAATTAGAGAGTATCATCAAGAGTCATTCATGCCAGAGAACTGAAGCGTATTTGTCATGGCATTTATTTTTCATGTCCTTGAAAAACTTACAGAAGTATTGAAGTTTGAAGCAGTCTCATTGACTACATTCTCCTCCACTAAAAATTAAAAGAAAAACATACCTCTGACACAGATAGTTAAAAAGGGAGACAAAGTCAAACACTCTCTTGAGAGCCCTTTGACCTCTAGAACTTGGTTACCCTGCTTCTCTAGAACTTGGTTATCCTGCATCTTTGTCACATTCTTAGGGATTTACTATGAAGGAGATTCCAAAAGTGATTGAGAAAGAGGTTTTTGGGTCAAGGTGGCTGTTTTTACTGGTTTTGAAGTTGATCAGAAAGATGGCTCTGGTTAATGTTAGGCTCAGAGTTCCTTTTTCTTTCATGTTATTTTTAAAAGTATCAAATTCTCCTCTTCCAACACTAGCCAAGGGCCGATTCTTAGTCTTCCTATAAAAAATGGTGCTGTCTCACTTAAAAATGGTACTTTCCTGGTCCTGGGGACAACTTTAGTGTCTGGTTTTGTTGTCTTAGATTATGCTTCTTTATCCTTCCGTATCTTTCCTGTTTCTGTCAAAAAGCAATACTAGTCATCGTCTCCTGATAAGGGACTTAAATTTATCCCTAAAATTAAGGAGTGATGTGATATGATGACTTATCCCAGTGGTGAAGGAAAGAGGTAATTTTTCTATAGGGTTTAGGGACTTGTTAGTGATAAGTTCCAGAACCACCTCACACTTCCACCCAATAGAAAAAGGTAAATGATAAGATGCTGGCCATGCCTTTGAAGGGAAGAAAGAGTGTTGAACTAGTCCTGTCCATGACCCATCAATATATTGCTATCTAAGTCTAATCTAGGCACATGATTCAGGTACATAAATTTCATAAGGACCAGCACTCCAGCCTCCCCCAACCAGCACACAGTGTCCCTTTCCAGGGCAGAGGGACCAGACAATGGGGTGCGGAGGGCAGAGCTCTTTAGGCACCACCTTTGAAGTGGACAGAGGAAACACCTGAGAAGGAAGGAGAGTGTTGGGTGCGCTTTCATGGAAAAAGACCTGGAAACTAAGATAACTCCCTTTCTAACCTTATGAAAGGTGTCCCTAATGGGGAATTTTGCCAGCTCCAAAGGGAAGCTGGGGATCACCAGTCCCAGGTGTGATGCCTCCTTGACGTTTTGGCTGTCTCTCCTCATGCATCCCCACTGAATACTCGTTAACCTCGGCCAAAGTCACCAGGCATAAAGCAGGTGTCTAACTCCACGCACGTTCATGGATAAAAGGGTCATATGCTGAAACACTGCCATCTTGTGGTTTCCTGAATAAACAGTGTCAGCTCAGAGCAACCTGTACCCCAGGGCTTGAGTCTCTCACTGGCCCAGCCCAAGGTAAAGCAAGCTTTAGAGATCAGCCACTGTTCTTCTCTGCCTTCTCTTTTCCATCTCCAGCCTAGATACTTTCTGGCAAAATCTATCCCCGCCTGGGGGGACTTTGCAGGGTAAAGCCTCCATCTCTCTCGTTTCCTTTTTTGTCTCCGCAGATGATGCCTGCACTGACAGCTTCACCCCCAACCAAGTGGCCCGAATGCACTGCTATCTGGACCTTGTGTATCAGCAGTGGAGCCAGAGCCGGAAGCCCACCCCCATCCCCATCCCCCCCGTGGTCATCGGGCAGACTCCCAAGTCCCTCACTATCCACTGGCTGCCTCCAATTAGTGGCGTTGTGTATGACAGGTGAGAGGGCGCTGGCTTGTGGGTGAGCTGGTATCTTTCTCCATGGTGTTTCTTATGAATGAGGGAAAGAGTGTGAAGTTAGGGGAACCCAGTTTGTAACAATAAGTGTGCACCATTGCTCAGGGCTGCCTCCACCTCCCTGCTCCGTCCTTATCTCCTGAGCAGGGCTCCTGGGGCTCTCACGCAAGCCAACACTGCATCATGTGTGCCCACTCCTTGGCCAGGGGCACCTCCGATGTTTCCTTATGTCCCATCTGGCGTGATCCCAGGAGCTGTGAAGAGGTTGACAAATGTGATAGCGATGACCTGACAAAACTGAGATGGCACTTGCTACCTGTCCAGGTCAGCTGTTCTACTTGGTGTAAGGATGGACAAGAGTAGTAAGGGGCTTGCTACTTGCACAGTGGTGTCTGGAAGAAGGGAAGTGCGGCGTCTTCCTCCAGGCAGTTCTGGGGGTGGGTGGGTAACTGGCTATTCAAGCCATGCATCAAGGGTTTAACTGGTTCAGGTGGGCGTTTCTAATGCCTCCTGTCTATCCTGTTGTACCCTGTGCCTGCCTGTTATGGCTATTATATCTTGTGCGATTGTCATTATCTGTTCATTTTCCTGTCTGTTCCACTACTCAACTGGCAGTTCTGAGGGGGCAGAACTGCTTTCTGTTATCTTGGTCTCTTGACCTGCCACAATAAACACCTAATTCATATTTAGTGAAGAGAATTGTTCTAGCTAAAGTTGGTTTTTATTCATCCTCTGCATATTGGGGTAATGATTACCGGGAACATTTCTGTGGCAAAGAGGGACGGAAGGAAAAGGGTGACCTCTGACAACTGGTGGGAAGATGGGGGGATGGGGTTTAACGGAGAAGGGTCGGAACCCCATCCACGGCCTGCTCTCCATTTTTCCAAAACCTGCCACTGTATTCTAAATAACCAGTGGTTGTGGCTTACTGGGGCCTTCTGTGTGAGAGGCATTCACTATGTGAGATATTTTACCTGAAATTATTTTCTTTAGTCCTCGCAGTGAGCCCAATCCCTGCTGTATCAGTGAAAAATCCGAGGCAGGGTAGAGGTGAACTGGGTACGTCCCCGGGAATTTCAGAACTGGAGGATGAGTAATAGATTGTTTCTTTGAATTTAGGGCTTTCTCACCAAGCAGGTGGATAGCTCCTCATCTGTGTGTGACACTGTCTTTCTGGGTGTCAGATCCCTGCTGAGAAAATGAGCGTCCCTGAAGCATGTTCCCATGTACTCCGGCTTTTCTGAAAGCCTAGGAGAGAGGGCAGGCAGAGACAGGGATGGGAAGAAGCAGGTGAATCATTTTGCAAACTGGCTTTCCCAGCTTTCTGGGATCTTGGTACCTCTCCTTGCCAGCCGGATGTGCATTTACTGCATGATGGTACTTAGACCCACAAGCCTATAAACAGTTTTGATTTTCACCAGCCCGCAAGCTCCCATGGACCCCTTTTGTGAGTCGACCTGTATCTCTGTGATGTGTGGAAGAAACCTCTTCCTGCGAGTGTGACCTTGGGTGGCTCTGGCTGAACACTAGGTCCTCCGTGGGTATGTGCAAACCCACGTTTTTACATCAGTTTATGTAACACGTGTAAACAATTTAATCTTTCAATTCTTTCTCTGGTACAAACGTTACGATAAAGCAGACATCACTGCTGGCTGGGTGCGAGGCTGTTGGCAGAAAAGGCTGCAGTTGGCTTCCTTTTCTCAGCGAGGTGGGCCACAGCGCCGAGGCCTCACGACACGTGTGTCGGGGAGACTCACGTCACGTTCCCAGGGATTTGTGTCACGCTTGGAGTTGTGTTTACTCCTCCTCAGTAGGTATTTGGAATCCTTATGTCAGAGAGGAGCCCAACCACGCACTCAGCGGCGGCCCCGGAAGAGCCAAGTGCATCAGGGAACTGTGGTTTGGAATTGTGTCCGCAGCGGCCGTGAGTGCTGACTGCAGTTGGGGGTTGCAGTTAATGACAACTTTTCATTGCCAAAGTACTGGACACTTGGTGTTTGGGAACTTGCTCAGAGGAATTAAGAAACTTCTGACTGTAGGCAGTTCGTCTCTCTGAGCCTAAATATCCTTACTCTTAAGCAGGGATGAGAAATAATTTATGAAAAGCATCTCATGGGACAATGCCAGGTAGATAGTGTGCTTAATACACTGCAGCTGGTAGTGAGAGGGTAACAGATAGGAAGGCCAGAGGTCCCCAAGCGGCAGGAGGAAATAGACTACAAGTGGCAGCATTTATTTCCTTCTCTACACAAAATTGAAAGAGGCTTCTTTTAATTCTGTGTTGAAGACACCTGGTTCTGCCTTGAGCTAACCAATGTGTTTTTCTTATGGAAATGTTTTTCTTAAGCTATGTTAATGAGACTCTGTTTTCTGCTTTGGAATCTGCCTTTGCTTCAAAATGGTTCCAGCTAAGACTAACTTTTTTCCTTTTCTCAAACCTTGGGTTGATAATGGCTCAACAAACCAGTATTCATGTCAATTATTTTATGGCCAGGGGATGACACACCTCATGCCATCCTATCTCAAAAATGCATATTGTGGAAGAGCAGCCTGGTGAAACTCCCCCAGGCTTAAGGTGTTTCTTTTATCTGATTAGAAGCTAACAGGCAGTGGCTCAGCTAGTAAAGAATCCGCCTGCAATGGGAGACCTCAGTTGGATCCCTGGGTTGGGAAGATTCCCTGGAGGAGGGAAAGGCTACCCACTGCAATATTCTGGCCTGGAGAATTCCATGAACTGTGTAGTCCATGGGGTCACAAAGAGTTGGACAAGACTGAGTGACTTTCACTTTCACTTTCAACAGACATAAAACACCTTGTTAAAAACTAGCAAGCAGGCACTCTTTCTGTCCCCTTCTGATGTTTATGTCAGAAGCTTTTCCAGTCTCTGTTATACTTTAATAAAACTTTGCTACACAAAAGGCTCCAAGTAGTCAAGCCTCGTCTCTGACCCCAAATCAAAATCCTCTCTTCTGGAGGTCACGAATCCTGGCGTAACACACAGCTCACAGCAGCAAACTTTCAGTAGCACAATCATTACCCTTATTTGACAATACTGTTTTCTACCATATTATCAGATTTTACTTTTCTCTCGCTGCTTCTTGAGAGACTGTAATTCGGTACCTCCGTTTGCAGATGGATCATTCACAACGGGGTTTCAACAAACTATTATGCGTAAAATAAGCTACAAGGATATGCTGTACACCATGGGGAATATGGCCAATATCTCATAATAGCTGTAAATGGAGTATACCCTTTGAAATTGAATCACTGTATTATATATTTAGAACTTATATAATATTATATAACAACTAGATTTCAATAATTAAAAAAAAAATCTTAGCATCAGAAACAGGCTTCATCAAGTGATTTACCCTTGCTATTTAGCTATTGACATTACCCTTCAAGATCTGGTGCTTGAAGAGCTCTTCATAGTCTTATTAATAGTCTCAAGGATGCCCACAGAACAAGCTCTCACTGGGGGACTGCCTAGATCAGTCTCTGTCCCAACTGCTGGCACAGAAAGAAAAGAGCTCGGCCTGGAACCTCTCCAGGAGAAGGAATGGGAATGGGAATTGTCCACACCAGATATCAGTGTCCCAAGATGGGAGCTAGAAGTTGCAGTGGGGATAGTGCTGGTCATCCAGAGGAGTCAGGCTAAGTACCATTGCAGAGGATACACTTGCATGGGTTTGAGGGATGAATAGGAGCTTGCTAAACAAAGAAGCTTGGAAAGTCGACTTAGCAGGAGAGAGACCAGCATGTTTCATGGAACTGTGTGATGGGCAGGATGTTTTTGTGAAGTGGTGATTTGTTATTGTGATGGGAACATAAAATCCATGAACAAATTGAAGGAGGTAAGGCTAAAGCTCTTCTCTGAAGGATCTTGGGTCATGAGCAGGAATTTAGGTGTATCCCCGTAGGTGTTGCAGAGCCAGGAGGCATTACATTTCATATGACCCTTATATGTGTGATTAAAAAGTAGAACGTTAAAACATAAGACCACATGTAGCTAATAAGTTTACTGTGAAAACTGCTGTTTGTTTTGCTCAGGGGAATGCAAGGAGCCTCTGGCTGACTTACTGAGAGTCAGCATAGAAGCTGTTTTATGCTGAAAGATTCAGATGGTAATTATTTTGTGTTGATCATTGCTGGGATAGAAGCCCTCTTTCATCTCCACAGGCCTCCTTTATGACTTAGTTAAATTCTTCTGCTTCATAACCTTGAGATTTTCATGTCACTCTGAATTTTGCAAAGGTGAGGTCTATACAAGAAGAGAGTGAGTTGCAAAAGAGTTGTGTTCCCAGTTACCCCCTAGGGCCTCCATACCCACTGTCACTTCCCTGCCATCAAAGGTCTTCTGAATTTTGCTATCCCAGTTCATCTGACCTATTCTTCCCATTTCCACCCCCCGCATTGTGTTCGCAGGGTCCCCGGCAGCGTGTGTGGTGCCTGCACTGAAGATGGGACGTTCCGTCAGTATGTGCACACAGCTTCCTCCCGGCGCGTGTGTGACTCCTCAGGTTACTGGACTCCAGAGGAGGCTGTGGGTAAAGGACCATGGCTTTTTCATTTACACCTCGGTGGCCACTGAGAATGAGGGTGGAGGCTAAGGGTGAAGTGGTGGCAGTAAGAATAAGGTAGTGTGCGTGTGTGTGTGTGTGTGTGTGTGTGCATGCGTGTGTGTGCATGTGTGTGTGTGTGTATGGTTTGCTGGAAACCTCCAGGGGTCTGCAAGTGACTCTGGCTGGGATCTTTGTGTGGATGGCCCACCTGCGATTAAGGTGGTGATGGCTGTGCTGAATCAGAGGACAGCACGGAGGACAGAGGGAGGGAGAACTCTGGGGACGACTTCAGGAAGAGCTGGCTCAGGCACATCATGTTACGTGCGCCCGCCAGCCCATGGAACAGCCTTGCCACAGGATGATGTAAGCTGATCCCGTGCCCCCCATCAGGGAACACTCATGCACACTGGCTGAGCCAGCCCGGGTGGAGGTGGGGTGGACTAGGTGTCCAAACTCATCTTTCTCATCTACGCTCTTTTATGAGTCTGTTAACCTGTGGTGCTGGTTGTGCTTTGGATGTGATCTAAGCTAGGCTCTGGGAGGGGAAAATGTTTTTAGCTGTCCCCTTTCCTGTCCCTCCCCCAGACTTCTCAGCTACATATTCACTCACATATGTATATCAAAGCCTTACAGCCAACTAGGGTATGAATGCTATCCCAATTCAAGTCCCAAATATGCTATTGACATGAGTTGCAGCATCTTCTGATGAATGGCTTGACTTCTTCCATCATGACTGTCCTGTTTGGTCCATCAAACCATCATGTTTACCTAGTCATCATCTTCTCTTTTTCTTTTATTACAATTGTAAAAACAACTCAATCAGATGTGTTGGACAGGGTCCTATTTGAGTTAGTTTGCAGTCTGATAAGAAAAAAAGGAGAACGTTGGTCTAAGAGTTTACCATGTCCCCTTAGGCTCCCAGTTACTCAAACAACAGGAGCCTGAAGGAGGAATCTGGAGAGAGACAGTTGACCTGACTGATCGTATAGAACTTTTTTCAAATGAGTTTTCAGGGAAGAATGGAAAGTGACTATAAAATTTACATTGGCACTGCGTAGGACTCATTTAGAGACTGGCATTTCATAAAAGGCCATTCTCGTGGCAAACAGTTTGTCCTGTGCTAGAGTTTTAGTGCCTATTTGACTGTCTGGCCCTGTACTTTTTCCTTTTTAATTCTTGGAAAAATTTAAAGTTATCTGGTAGAGGTGAAAGGAATTAGAAGTTCTGGGTTCTAACTCTTGTATTGTGTCTCCAGGCAAACCAAATTAGCTTTTAGGGCCTCCACTCCATCTTTTCACATGAGATCATAATAAAAACTTTCTGACGGATAGTGCTACTGTTGAGGAGTTGGCTTCCAAGGGCCTGCAGTCTGCTAGTATTTGGGGATGACTATTGGAAAATACTGCTGGGAAGTACTAGTATTCCTTTGTTTTGAACAGGTGAAGAATCAAGTCATATTTTAAATATAGAAAATGAATTGACTCCCTAGCAGAACATACACAAACATATATAATTAGAGATATGATCAAAATGTATTTAATGACACATTGGACAGTTATTGATCACCATCTACATCCTGAGTGCTATGAAGAATAGAAAATCGAACCAGACATATTCACTGCTTAAGTATCATCTTTTTGGAGAGAACTTCCCTGGCTGTATGATCTAAAATAGCCCCCAGTCTCACCCCATCATTCTCTAGTCCTTTTTCCCCCTTTATCTTTCTTCAGAGAGGACATTACCACTTGGAATTATACCTCTTTATTTACTGTTGCACCTTTCACCCTATGGTAAGATATATGTGGTCAGTACCTTTATCTTGTTCATTACTCAATCTCTGATACCTAGATTAGTGCTAGATGTAAAAGAGATATACAGTCAATTTGTATTGAGTTAATGAATGAATGGATGGATTCACAATATAGGGAAAAAACAATAGGGGTCGAAAGATGTAACACACACACACACACTCACACACACATTTGAACTTATTTCCTCTGGGATTTGGAATATTGGTTTCCAAATCCTGAAGGGCTAAATCATTCTATTTTTGCACATATAGTTTGCAGATATTTCTATGAAACATCATACAGCTCTTCTATACTAAGTAAGCGAAAGTGAAAGTGAAGGTCACTCAGTTGTGTCTGACTCTTTTTGACCCTGTGGACTATACAGTCCATGGAATTCTCCAGGTCAGAATATTGGAGCGGGTAGCCTTTCCCTTCTCCAGGGGATCTTCCCAACCCAGGGATCAAACCCGTGTCTCCCACACTGCAGGCAGATTCTTTACCAGCTGAGCCACCAGGGATTAGTCAGTAAGGCAGGGGTTAAACAGTCCTTATTTTATCTATGAGGACACTGAGGCTTAGAGAGACTGGCCACAGTCACACAGATAATGCACAGCACCAAGTAGAGCCTAACTACGGTTTTTTAATTTAGCAGTTTTCTTTTAATTCCGCTTGTGTGATATAAAAGGAAACCACCTTGTATATAGATTATTTCCACAGAGATGACCTTTAATATGTTACTGATATTTGATTTTTCACCTTTGCATTTTTGGCTCCCGGGCTACTGAATCTCCTTTTTCTTCTACTCAAGAAAAGTGTTTCTATTTCCCACGAGCAGTTTTCTGATCTCCTGACTTACACATATCTGAACGAAAGGGGAAATTTCAGTGTCTGGCTTTAAAGTTTGACTTACAGTCCTTTGGAAGGCTTGTTAAGGTATGATCTTAGGGCGTCAAAGTTTTGTGAAGAGCCTAGTCAAACAGAGTAGCATCAGCCTGAAACAAACATTGGCCTTATTAATAAAACAGGGCTTCAGAAGCATTACTTTATCATAAATTATTAATAAACTAAGTGCAAATAATTCTCCTCGGCTCAAGGATTCTGTTTTTAATTTTTTTTTTAAGTTTTAAATTTATTTATTTATTTATTTTTGGCTGTGCTGGGTCTTCACTGCTGCATGTGGGATTTCTCTAGTTGCAGCGAGCAGGGTATACTCTTTGATGTGGTGCTCAGGCTTCTCATTGCGTTGGCTTCTCCTGTTGCAGAGCTTGATTCTAGAGCATGGGCTGAGTAGCTGCGGCTCATGGGTTTAGTCATGCCACAGTATATGGAATCTTCCCCAGCCAGGGATTGAACCTGTGTCCCTACATTGGCAGGCAGACTCTTAAGCCCTAGACCACCAGGGAAGTCCTGCTCAAGGATTCTTTGGGGCTTACCTTATCTCCATCAGCCTCATGTTTCCACTTAGGATTGGGGTCACTCCATTCTCAGTGCCATGCTGGGTTTCTCTTGTTAAAGGGCACCAGATAGAGGTGATTTGGAGCATAATGCTTTAGAATTGTTAGAGCTTTATCTTCAGTAAGGGCTTCCTAGGTGGCTCAAGGGGTAAAGAATCCACCTGCCCAAGAAAGGAGATGCTGGAGACACAGGTTTGATCCCTGGATCAGGAAGATTCCCTGGAGGAGGAAATGGCAACCCACTCCAGTATTATTGCTGGTAAAATCCCCCAAGCTACTAAGCTGACAAGTTCCTATAAGAATATGCTCAAAGAATATGCTCAAAGTTCTCTTCTTCTTCTGACTCTTCTTCTCTCCTGACTATTGATAGGGATGACTCACTTTCAGATTTTTATTGGTGGTTTCTGATGCATCTTTCTTTCTGCTCATCTCCCTCAGGCCCTCCAGATGTGGATCAACCTTGTGAGCCGAGTTTGCAGGCCTGGAGTCCCGAGCTCCACCTATACCACATGAACATGACGGTCCCCTGCCCTGCGGAAGGCTGTAGCCTGGAGCTGCTCTTTCAGCACCCGGTTCAAGCTGACACTCTCACCCTATGGGTCACCTACCTCTCCATGGACTCCTCCCCAGCGCTCTTTGACACGGAGATCTTGCTGGAACACCAGAAGTCTGTGCACCTGGGCCCTTTGGACACTTTCTGTGATGTACCGCTCACTATCAAGCTGCATGTTGATGGGAAGGTCGTGGGGGTGAAAGTCTACACCTTTGATGAGCGGATGGAGATTGATGCAGCTCTCCTGACTTCTCAACCCCACAGTCCGTTGTGTTCTGGCTGCAGGCCTGTGAGGTACCAGGTTCTCCGCGAGCCCCCATTTGCCAGTGGCTTGCCTGTGGTGGTGATGCATCCTCACCGGAAGTTCACAGACATGTGAGTTGGGCAGCAGGGCTTTCTAAACCATGGGGCCTCCTGTGGCTTTGGGAGTGGATTTTACTTCCTTTTTATTTGTTGTGTTTTTGTTTTATTTTACATTCCAACATGCCCTTATTTGGAGAAACATTCAGACCCTCGGAGGGGATTTTATTCTAAAGTGGCGTCTCTGAGATGAACAAAAATATTTCCCAGAAAAGGGAAAGTGGATGACCTGATTGATGATGTCATCATTATGATTCTAGACAAAAGAGGTCCGTGAATGATGTGTTGGTCTCCCCTGGTGGCTCAGATGGTAAAGAATCCACCTGCAATACAGGAGACCTGGGTTCAATCCCTGGGTCAGGAAGATCCTCTGGAGAAGGACATGGCAACCCACTTTAGTATTCTTGCCTAGAGAATCCCTAGGACAGAGGAGCCCTGCAGGCTACAGTGCACAGATTGCAAAGAGTCAGATGCAACATGCATGCATGTTTCAGTTGGGCTGAAAGTAATTGCCAGAAATAAGTTGATCAGAGTCAGATATTCCTATCTGGTGACACCATCTAATTTTTGATCTTTGCTGCAACTTTTAAATAATCTGCCACAGCTCCTATATCATTTAAAGGTTATAGTCACCTCTTCCACAGCTAAGTAGAAAAGCCAAGGATTCCTGAAACACTATACTTTTATGACTTTCATTTTTCATTCTTCCCTTATTTCCTCCCTACCTCCTCTCTTTCCTTCTCTTTCTCTTTCTTCTGTTCTTCCTACATTTAGTGAGTTCTTAAGTGTTCCTGGCACTGTGAGCTCAGTGCAGGGGACACAGACTAAGATAAGATCATTGGCTTAGAGTTCAAGAGTAGGAGGCTGGTATCTCCAAAGGCAAATTTTCCTCACCTCATAATCTTTTCAGAGGCTGCCCTGAGGGCAGAACTCTGGGGAAAACAAAAGTTTTATCAGAGGTGCTGTATTGGTTAGTTTTTGCCACATTAGAAATCATCACAAAACATAGTGGTTTAAAACAACAAACACGGATGGGGAATACATGTAAAAAAAAAAAAAAAAAAAGATACACTATGGTTGTGATAAAAAAATAAATAAATAAATTAAATTTAAAAAAATAAATAAATAAACTATTTCATCTATAAGCCACATAATAAAATTATAGTTCTTTTGCAAAAAAAAAAAAAAATAAAATAAAAAAAAAAATAAAACAACAAACACATTTCTCATGGTTCTGTGTGTTGGCTGGGTGCACTCATCTGGACCAGCCTGACCAAGGCTACATGGCCCCAGATGACCTCATGCACACATGAGGCTCAGGGAATATGCTGGCCTGGCTGGAAGGAGGAAGTTCTCTTTCCACATCTCTCCTTCACTGGGAGGCTTTGCCTGGGTTTGTCCTCATGGTGCTTTGCTGTGGTCAGCCGCTTCAATCATATCTGACTCTTTGCAACCCTATGGACTATAGACTGCCAGGTTCCTCTGTCCATGGGATTCTCCAGGCAAGATTACTGGAGTGGGTTGCCCTTTCCTTCTCCAGGAGATCTTCCCCGTCCAGGGATGGAACCTGCATCTCTTATGTCTCCTGCATTGGTGGGCGGCTTCTTTACCATTCATGTCACCCGGGAAGTCCTCATGGTGGTAGAAGGCTTTCCAGAAGCAGGAAGGGCAAGTCCCCAAATTCTCATACTTTTCAGGCCTCTGCTTACATCACTCATGATACCATTTCACTAGCCAAAACAGGTCACAAAGAATTTGAGATTCTGGAGTTGACAACATTGATTCTATCTCTTACTGAGAGAAACAGTAAAGTCACATCACAGAAGCACACACATCTGGGATGGGAAGAACTTGCGGCCACTTTTCACTCTGCCATAGCTACAAATGAGCCAAGAAAAGTGTTCACCTTGAATTTTACTGCAGCTTTCCTCCCATACTTGCTTTCTGAATTAGAACTAGAAGACAGTAAAATGGTCAAAAAGCTCATGCAATTGGGAGGATAGACCATGGGACAGGTCTGAAAAGAAATAAATGTTATTTGGGGGACTTTCTTTAGTAAGCCAATTAAAATGATATTTGTTACCTTTTAAAATAATTTATTATTGTTATTTTTGTTACATTTAGTAAGTCGAGTTTTGTGTTGCCTCATCATGATTTTCAAAATATGAGCTATTTAATGATATTTGTTATCTAACTTGACATACTCACATTCTCACACATACGCTGACACAAAAAACATTTAAGGATAATAATATTCTATTTTATAGATGAGAGAACTAAGACTAACTTTAATTTTGTTGAACAGAGGTAGCAAGTGGCAAACTCAGGATTAAAATCCAATTTTCTGACTGAATCTTACTTTGGTTCTTTAGTAACACATTACTTTTACAAACTCAGCTCATTGAAGATTGGGGCTACCTGCTGCTGAGTTTTCTCCCCAAGAAGCGTAAACACGTCCTGATGCTTCTTTCCAACTAGAGATCAGTGTAAGACTTTTATGCATGGCTAGATGAGAAGTCAGACAGAAACCTCCCTGTGAGAGGGAAGCCATCAGAATTGATTAAGATATAAAACTTGTTTTGCTTTTGAAATACCTGGCACTCTTATGAAAAGAGTGCTTCCCTGCAGAAAACTAATTTGGAAATTTCAAAGTCTTTAATATTTAGGTGTCTTTCCTATTAAAATAACTAAAAACCAGTACAGAGATGTTTAAAGGTGTTTTTGAAACCCCACGACATCTCCTGTTTGCTGCTTGCAGCATGAAGCAAAAGAGTAGAAGCTTTGTGGTTGAGTTGAAGAGTGTGTTAAAGAAGAGAGGGCTTTGGTAGGATATCTGTGGGTACCACTTGTGGGAGAACCAATAGCCCTTTGAGATCCTATTCTCCTAAGTCACTCCCATTCTAGCATGGCTCTAGTGGTATGGTACTTTTCCAATTAGGGCAAGCGTTGGATAAAAGTTAAGTTGAAGGCAGAATTCATCTTTGGAATCAGCAGCTCCCCTCCAACCCCCACACCACTGGCCCTTAGCTCCTTCCCCCTTGCAAATGTTCAGTCTCTCACATTCTTCACTTGATCAGTGCTCTTGGGCTCTAGATAGTCTGATAAACTCCTTCCATCTCTGGTGCCAATTGATAAAACTCATTCCTGGTTTATATGTATGTTGGAGCCGGAGAGTCTTTTAATGTATTTCCAGTGGTGGGATTTTTTGCATCCCTAAAATAAGGATGGAAGATTTCCTCATCTCCTTCTAGGAGAAAGGTGCTTTTCCTCATAAGAATTCAATCTCCTCAAGACAAGAATTCTCTTGAGAGACAAGAAAACTGTGATTCATGGACCCAAGAAGGGCCTTGCTGAGCCCAAACTCTGAAGCATTCATCTTCAGCTTTACAATCATTTCAATGATACAGAGGGGCCTTCCAGGTGGTGCTAGTGGTAAAGAACCCACCTGCCAACTAAGGAGACATGAGACGCAGGTCCGATCCCTGGGTCAGGAAGATCCCCTGGAGGAGGGCACAGCAACCCACTCCAGTGTTCTTGCCTGGAGAATTCCATGGACAGAGGAGCCTGGTGGGCTGTGGTCCATAGAGTCGCAAAGAGGTGGACATGACTGAAGCAACTTAGCATGTATGCACACATGCAGTGATATAGAAGACTAGGTTTTCAAAGTTGGTGGTTTTGTGTGTGTGTGTTTATGTAACATGGTAAAGATATGCTCGAAATACCATCCTCCTAGATTGTGTAGGACTGTTAGCTGGTTCAGCGTTCCCTCAGCAATCACATACATTTGCTACGTAGAAGGTTCTGGGAATACAGAGATGAATACGGTTTTAAATGTTCTGTAAGACTATATGCCCTGCTCTTGGTTTCAAACAACATGGCATATGTTTAACATTTTTATTCCCTGTAATATTTATTTAAAATTCCTGCACACCATCTGAAAAAGACCCAGGGCCTACTCCACTTCCTGGATGTATGGTTACGGCCCGTTGATTTCCACAGGGAGGTCATGCCTGGGCAGATGTACCGGTACCAAGTTCAAGCTGCAGCTGGAGCAGAACTGGGAGAAGCTTCACCTCCTCTGAGCCACATCCATGGAGCTCCTTACTGTGGAGATGGGAAGGTTGCAAGGTGAGGACATACCGTGTGCCTTGGACTGGGTGACAGAGGATGTCCCGCCTTGCTCGGACCATGAGGGTTTGCCTTGAGACTGATTTGGGAGGGGAAAGGGGCAAGACACTGTGTGATTCTGGTATTGAACAAAATCTGGGACCTGGTTGTGATCTTGAGGGGTCATTCACATCTCTACATAGTTAAGGATGGACCCATTTTAATTTAGTACCAAGATATTGGGGCTGATTCTGTGGGGGTCTTCTTCAGGTTTCAGAGAACAAGTGCTGGACAGTGATTCAGGGAAGGAATTCATGGTGGAGAAGGTTATTTCCAAATGATGCTAAAAGAGGATGTGAGGGTATCTTTTGGATCAGTTGCCTGTCTTATGACCCAAGGAAAATCACTATAGCTTTATGAGATTCAGTTGCTCATTTGATCCCTGGAATACCTCATTGCAATGCAATTTACAGCTATTCTATAAAATCACCAAGGTAAAAATGAAATCACTCCTTTGATTTCTTAACATACCACCTTCCTTTTCCTGTTGCCCTTTTAATTAGTTAGTTATTTCAGTCTCTCAGTTGTGTCTGACTCTTTGTGACCCCATGGACTGTAGCATGCCAAGCTTCCCTGTCCATCACCAACTTCCTGAGCTTGCTCAGACTCATTTCCATAAATTCAGTGATGCCATCCAACCATCTCATCCTCTGTCGTCCCCTTCTCCCCCACCTTCAATCTTTCCCAGCATCAGGGTCTTTTCCAATGAGTCAGTTCTTCACATCAGGTGGTCAAAGTATTGGAGCTTCAGCGTCAGTCCTTGCATAGAGTATTCAGGACTGATTTTCTTTAGGATTGACTGGTTTGATCTCCTTGCAGTCCAAGAGATTCCCAGGAGTCTTCTCCAACACCGCAGTTCAAAAGCATCAATTCTTCAGTGCTCAGCTTTCTTTATGGCCTTTCTCTATACCCTTTACTGATATCAACCTAGTTCATTCTGATTTGCCAGGCAGTTGCCAAAATTTGTCACTGAATACTCCCATGTTCCAGTGACTATCCTATATTAACCTATTCTAAATGCTCAGCTCACCTAATGTGTTGTTTATATAAAGCTGCTAGGAGTAAAAGACTGGAAGGCCAGGTACTATAATTTGTCTTAGAGTCTGTATCCTAGTAAGATGGCTTGTTTTTAGCTTTCCAGATCAAGTAAAAATATCTTGTATCTTGAAGGCCTAATTGAAAGCAATCTATAACCTTTCTTGGGGTTTTATCCCATTGTTTAGCAATTACTAAATATTGTTTGTCTTCTCAATCTTCTAAGATTCTTAAGCTTTAGTGTAAGTCTACTCCTTTTCATAGTAGTATAAACACCAAATGTTCCCAGACTTCAGAAATACATCCAAGAGACTGAGATCCCTTTAATACCCAAACCTTGCTAGTTTGCTGCCACCTTCTGCCTCAGTCTCAGCTTATCCTTTCTCCCCCTCCATCTCAATTAAATATCTCCCTGTGAAACCATTAGGTGACATTTCAGGGGCTCAGAAGAGCTCCAGTACCACAGTCCTTTATGTCTCAGCAAAGAAAAGAATTCAGCGAGAGGCAAAGTGATAGATAAGAAGTGATTTATTAGATTAGGACGCTTGTGAGATTTACAAGCTGGTGAGGGTCAGTGGCAGCGGGCAGTGGTGGTAAAAGTTCTCAACCAGAGAACTTACTGGGCTACAGTTTTATAATCAAAGGAAAAGTGGGGAGGGGGAGAAGAACTTCTTTGTCTTTCTTGAGTAGACGAAAAGAACTTCTTTGTCTTTCTTGAGTAGACATCACGCTTCCATCATCAACTCCTCCTCCTGGTTGAGCAGGGGAGTTTTCTTGTCCCTACTTGTTCAAACTAGGTCTGCAAAGTATTATTTTTCTTGTGTGCAGAGGGCATGTCCTAGGGATAATTAACTGACTGAGCTCACTGGGCAGGATGTGGGTCTCATGACAACACTTATTTGATCTTTTGGGGGCAATGTCTCGTGCTTCTGTTGCATGATTTTGTTGCTAAGCAAGCCAGCTTGGTTTTGTGGTTAAGTAAACCTGCTCTACTGAGTAATCATTAACTTACAGGGGTCACCCATATTTTTATGCATACAATCCCCTAGTGGGATTAACTATTTAAACATCCAACTTTGTCCCTACTCTGAGCTTCCCTGCTGGCTTAGACAGTAAAGCGTCTGCCTGCAATGTGGGAAGCCTAGGTTTGATCCCTGGATCAGGAAGATCTCCTGGAGAAGGAAATGGCAACCCACCCCAGTAGTCTTGCCTGGAAAATTCCATGGATGGAGGAGCCTGGAGGGCTACAGTCCACGGGGTCACAAAGAGTTGGACACAACTGAGTGACTTCACTTTCACTTTTGTCCCTATCACCTAGGGATGACTCATGTGTGCACAGAACAACTCTGGTTGTTGTTGATGTTTTCCATGGCTACCTCATTTTAACCTGCTACCCACTGATTAAGGCGTCTGCAGGACTAGGTGACCATTACTACCCAAACAGAGCCCTCCTCGAACAAAAGAGTTGATCTTATGTTGTAGCATCTCCTACAGCAGTCTTCCAATGAAGGTTCTGATGTCCCAGGATGCCACATCTGCCTGGGGTTCTGGGGCTGAACAAGATAAGGGCTGTCTTCCTAGTCTGACATTGTACATTCCAGCCTGGGCTTTGAAACAGCTTCATCTGAAGTGACACCTGCTTGGCTGCTGGGCTTCACAAAGCCCCTTATCAAATGTTCCTTTAAACTGTGCCTATATTGCCTCTCTATAGAGTGTCATACTTTGTGCTTGCAACATTGGAAGGCCCTGCCTGCCAATGCAGGAGACATGGTTCATGGGAACCCTGATCTGGGAACATCCCATATACCTCAGAGCAACTAAGCCCATGTGCCACAACTATTGAGCCTGTGCTCTGGATCCCGGGAGCTGCAACTATTGAAGCCCTTGCACCCTAGACCTTGTGCTGTACAGTGAAAGAAGCCACTGCAATGAGAAGCCCACACACCACAACCAGAGAGGCCCCTGCTCCCTGAAACTAGAGAAAAGCCAGCACAGCAACCAAAACTAACTAAATAAATATTTTTTAAAATGATGTTAATTAGCTAAAAGAGAAAAATCATTTTATGTATACAAGTGTGTATGTTTGTATATCAGAATGTATACTTTTACCTTGTAGGAACCTGGGAGAAGAGTGTGATGATGGAGACCTTTTGAATGGAGACGGCTGCTCAAGGGCATGTGAATTGGAGGAAGGTTTCAACTGTGTAGGTGAGTTTAGGAGCACCTGCTCGGGCTTATGTCCCATGTTTGGAGATGTCTCCGATTCTTGTGAGCTCTTGATATCTGGCAATGTGTAATTTAGTGGTAATAACAATAACATTTTCTATGTATATTGTGTGCCTGGCACTAACTGTTTCACGTATATTATCCTGTTTAATCCCTACAATAAATATAAGGAGACTAAACAGAGTCACAGAGAGCTTAAATAACTTGCTTTCTCTTACACAACTGGCAGTGATGAAGTCAGGATTTGAACCAGGGAAGCAAATCCACATGTTAAACTACTAAATTACCCAGCCTCCTAGATTAATGTTACCAAAGATTGCCCTTGGGTCCTCACGTTTAACATCAGACTGTCAGCCAAGTAGTACAATTACAGATTCAACATAAAAATTATGGTGGGACATGTTTTAAGCCAAAGAGAGTACAAGATATCTCTTGGTGTCTGTGTTTAGTAGATAAGATTATGAAGAGTGATACACAGCATTTCTTAATCCTGAAAAGTCACTGATAATAAGTTATTGCTAGCTGCCATTGACTCTAGATTCTTGCCACACAGGAAGGCCCTCCAGAACACTTTTCCTGACTTTGATTAAAGCCATCAACAGGATTCTTTGCAGATTATTTTTTCATTCCTATGAGCATGCATGCTTAGTTGCTCAGTCAGGTCCAACTCTTTGTGACCCCATGGACTGTTGCCCGCCAGGCTCCTCTGTCCATGGAATTCTCCAGGCACATTGGAGTGAGTAGCCTTTCCCTTCTCCAGGAGATCTTCCCGACCCAGGGATCGAATCTGGGTCTCCTGCATTGCAGGCGGATTCTTTACCATCTGAGCTATCAGGAAAGCCCTCCTAGGTGCATTCCGTTCAGTTCAGTAGCTCAGTCGTGCCTGACTCTTTGTGACACCATGAACTGCAGCAAACCAAATCTATGTGCACACATTGAAGTAATTCTGTGGCACATATTTACTCATCAAAGTTATTTTTAAAAGCAGTGCATTTAACAATATTTTAATGTTTCTAAATTTTAAGACAAAGTTGGATGTGATTATAATTATGCATAATTTATTAAGGTATTAAATACTATAAGAACACACAAATGCTCCTGCTTTCCTGAGCAGAATAATAAAATTATAAAATCTTAGTGGTCTTACATCTATCCATATAACAAAATGTGTTCAATGCCCTCTATATACCACAAGTCTCATAGAGACCCTGATCCCTTCATTATGTCCAGCCTCTTTCCCTTAAAGAAATTGCTATATCAGTTCTCAAGCTTTTCTTACATGCATCTAGCAGTAAAGATTGCACCTTGAAAGACCATTCTGTTTAAAAGTGGCTTTATCTATTGTAAAATTCTTCTTCCCCTTTCTGGTTTGGAAACTGATGTTCAGAGCATTTTAGTGACTTGTCCATGGGCATATAATGAGGTGTCTACAAAGCCAGCATTGGAACTCAGCTTTCCTAATTCTTAATCAAGTGCTTTTTCCTTGCTATGAAACTACAGAGGATACATTTTTTTTCCTGTTTTATTTGACTACCATTCACATATTTGAAATGCCTCCCCATTATTCTCCTTTCCAGTCCAAACATCCCCTCATGTGATTAGGTTTCCAGGCCCTTTCCTATTTACCCTAACTTGGCATGCTTCCTGTGGTCAATGCCCAGAAAGGAATTCAATACTCCAGATGTGGTCTGGCTGTGTAAAATACACTGAACCGATTACCTCCCCTCTTCTGTACACAAGTATTTGTTAATGCCATCTCTGTTTGCATCATTCCTTTTTTCACATCATGGGCTCATGATACATGTACACACACACACATACAAACACACACACAGCCTTTGCTACTGCAGTTCATCTCATCTAACTTAAAAGTGGACCTTACTTTATTTCCATCACATTTAATTCCATTAAATTTGTTCATATTTCTTTACCCTCCAACTCCAGGAAGATCATCGTTAAATTATTTTAGCTTTACATGGCCAAGTTAAAATGGTCTATTCCACAGCTAGATATTTATTTCAGTTAGTAATATGCTCATAGTATTTAGTTCTATAGCATATAGTTCTAAAGCTCATAGCGTATGCTAAGCATATAGTTCTATTCTATCATTTCTCAAGAGACTAAGTTTGAAGGAACCATTGTGAAATGTGTTATAAAAGTGGTCTGCTATTTTTGCATTGATTTGAAGAAAAAGAAGCAAAATTTTTAAGTTGACGGTAAACAAAAGATAGAGAAGAAGCAAGGAGAGACTGTCATTGGATTATATAGAAAAACAAGACATGTATACATATGTATATTATAAAAATGTCATAAAATATGCATTATAAGACAAACACATGCATATGTACATATGTATACATTTAAATATGCACACACATATAAAACTATATACATGCATATATATGTATATATGTATGTGTGTATATAATATACAAACATTAACTATACATGCATATATATGTACATGTGTGTATATGTGTTCCATATATATACATATATGTATGTATGTAAGCCTTTGACTGTGTAGATCACAATACTGTGGAAAATTCTGAAAGAGATGGGAATACCAGACCACCTGACCTGCCTCTTGAGAGACCTATATGCAGGTCAGGAAGCCACAGTTGGCTTCCACAGACATGGACCAACAGACTGGTTCCAAATAGAAAAAGGAGTACGTAAAGGCTGTATATTGTCATCCTGCTTATTTAACTTATATGCCGAGTACATCAAGAGAAACGCTGGGCTGGGAGAAGCACAGGCTGGAATCAAGATTGCCGGGAGAAATATCAATAACCTCAGATATGCAGATGACACCACCCTTATGGCAGAAAGTGAAGAGGAACTAAAAAGCCTCTTGATGAAAGTGAAAGAGGAGAGTGAAAAAGTTGGCTTAAAGCTCAACATTCAGAAAACTAAGATTATGGCATCTGGTCTCATCACTTCATGGCAAATAGATGGGGAGACAGTGGAAGCAGTGTCAGACTTTACTTTTTTAGGCTCCAAAATCACTGCAGATGGTGATTGCAGCCATGAAATTAAAAGACGCTTACTCCTTGGAAGGAAAGTTATGACCAACCTAGATAGCATATTAAAAAGCAGAGACATTACTTTGCCAACAAAGGTCCATCTAGTCAAGGCTATGGTTTTTCCAGTGGTCATGTATGGATGTGAGAGCTGGACTGTGAAGAAAGCTGAGTGCTGAAGAATTGATGCTTTTGAACTGTGGTGTTGGAGAAGGCTCTTGAGAGTCTCTTGGACTGCAAGGAGATCCAACCAGTCCATCCTAAAGGAGATCAGTCCTGGGTGTTCATTGGAAGCACTGATGTTGAAGCTGAAACTCCAATAGTTTGGCCACCTCATGCGAAGAGTTGACTCATTGGAAAAGACCCTGATGCTTGGAGGGATTGGGGGCAGGAGGAGAAGAGGACAACAGAAGATGAGATGGCTGGATGGCATCACTGACTCGATGGACATGAGTTTGAGTAAACTCTGGGAGTTGGTGTTGGACAGGGATGCCTGGCATGCTGTGATTCATAGGATCGCAATGAGTCGGACGCGACTGAGCAACTGAACTGAACTGAACTGATATATATATATGGAATCATCATGGAAAAGTCATTCCAAATACACATATATTGGCTTTGGGGAGTAACTTAGAAAGGCCTTGGATTTAATGGCATACAGGAGTTCAAAACCCAAAATAGGCTCAGAACCAAGTCCTCGGAGCAGGAGCATACTCCTGGCAAGTAGAGATAGATTTACTAGAGAAGGGTCTCTGATTTGAAGAAATTATTAAGGAAAATAATTAGTAACTACATGTTGATAAACAGCTGAAAAATTACTGAAACAGTCCTGTGGTATTTCTATAAAGAATTTAAAATTAAAAGAATGGAATAGTAACAGTTAATTTTAATGATGTTACTGAATGTGTACCTATGCATGCTTGCATGCTAAGTTGCTCTATTTGTGTCTGACTCTTTGTGACCCTACGTACTATAGCCTGCCAGGCTCCTTTGTCCATGGGATTCTCTAGGGAAGAATGCTAGAGTGGGTTGCCATGACCGTCTCCTGGGGATCTTCCCAACCCAGGGATCACATTGGTGCCTTTTATATCTCCTGCATTGGCAGGTGGGTTCTTTACCACTAGTGCCACCTGGAAAGCCCATGTACCTATGGGTTGAGCTATTTTAAATTTTGATCTTAATTTCATGTCCTATTATTTTAGGTAGAAATGAAGAATTAGAATTGTGTTACTAATAGGGGTAGACGGGGCAATAATACTAAATAAATGGCTTTATAACTGCATCTCAGTTTTTTACATTTGAAGAAAGCTAAGTTATATATCAAACGGCTCAGGGGGTAAAGAATCTGCCTGCAATGCAGGAGACACAGGAGACATGGGTTTGATTCCTGGGCCGTGACCATCCCCTAGAATGGCAACCCACTCCATATGGACCATGGACAGAGGAGCCTATTTGGACAGAGCAGGCTACAGTCCATAGGGTCACCAAGAGTTGGACATGACTGAAGTGACTGAGCACACGCATAGTTTACATGTCGATAGTTAGTACAGACTATCCACTTAGTAGAAGTTATCCTACGAGCAAGTAAGGACCTTGTCCAAGGAATTGTAGCTTGCTTTACAGGCCCAATGATTCTTCTCATATATTCATTACTCACATATTTGCTCTTGAAGACAGTCTCTCTGCCTTGGTTGAGGTACCGTGGGTAAGAGAAAGCCCCTGAACCTGCTTTCTGTAAGCCTGGCTCAAAGCCAAGCAATATTGCTTCTGCATCAAGGGAACTTTGACAAGTCACTTATAATCATGGAGTCTCAGATTGTCTATTGATGAAACAAACAAAAAATATATACCTCACATGGTTCTTATAAGACTAAAAGAAATAATACATATGTAACCCTTATAAACCTAGAGCCCATATTGTCCATTTCAGAGTAAATTGCATGGTTAATTGAAGAAATACAGCAGCAAAAAAGTAATTGGAAACAAATCCCTCCAATGTTTTATTTAAAATTTCAAAGACTATGAAGAGGTTCCAAGTACATATCATATCCTACCATCCATTTAAATTTCCTTTATTCTTTTACCTACTTCTCTTATATCCCTAGCTTCCCCTAGTACTTTGCGCAATGATTCCTTAAAGTTTCTTTCTATATCCAGCCCACAGCTGCTTTTTTCCTTCCTGTTCCTTCTCCTCTAACCTCACTCACTTTGTAGACTTTTTGTCATCTCAATGGATTTTATCATTCTCCCCATGAAAAAGTATCCTTCTTTAGGGGTATGATATCTATATGTTTGGGGTAGGCATTAGACTGGTTAGTAATTACAGGATTCTCTTTAGCAGCTGGAGTAAAAATGTAATTATTTTTACTTGACACATATAAAAGTACCTTTTCAAATGTCATATAATGTTTCTTGACAGGGGAACCAAGCCTGTGCTATATATATGAGGGAGATGGAATATGTGAGCCTTTTGAAAAGGAAACCAGCATTGTAGACTGTGGCCTCTATACTCCCAGAGGATATCTGGATCAGTGGGCTACCCAAGCTTTTTCTTCTCATGAAGACAAGAAGAAATGTCCTGTTTCCTTGGTCACTGGAGCACCTCATTCCATGGTAAGTTAAGACTAGTCAAGGGTAAGCAAAATTGTTAAGTGATTCCCCCGGATACTGACCTTGAGCTTACATTTTTTTCTCCTAACTTTGACACCAAATTTAGTTAACAAACTCAGAATTAAATAATGTTAAATGAAAAGCTTCTAGGCTATCAATTAAATCTCATCCCCCACCCTCACCCCACTTACCTTCACTAGTTTTTATCTAGGAACCTTTGACTATGCAATAACTGACCAAAAGGTACACAAAAGCATCTCAAAATTAGCCTTATAATATACACATCAGAAATTGCACTTAGGCTTTTCATTTGGAAGAATTTATCTTGAAAGAAGATAAAGGAGCAGTAAAGTCAGAATACTTGGATGACACTGTTTGATCTATCAGTATCATTATGATTATTACTAAGTGACATTTGGCAAGTCACTTAACCTCTCTGGGCTCCAATTTTCTCATATGTAAATCTTTTGCATTTAACTCAAGATTTGTTGCAAGGATCAAATGAAATTTAAAATATATATTAAAGATCAAAATATAATTTGATTTAAAAATTATTGTTATTAAAGACTTTCTAGAATTAGTACTAAAATCAAATCCATAGGCACACAATTTTCCATGAATATCTACCTAAGTAAATAGAAGATCCTCTGAGAACTTTGAGGACTGACTTCTGTGAGTTATAAATACCTAAAAGAAGATTAAGTGAAAAAAGTGAAAGTGTTAATTGTTCAGTTGTGTCCGACTCTTTGCGACCTCATGGACTGTAGCCCACTGGGCTCCTCTGTCCATGGGATTCTCCAGGCAAGAACACTGGAGTGGGTTGCTATTCCCTCCTCCAGGGGATCTTCCCAACCCAGGGATAGAACCTGGTTCTCCTGCATTGCAGGTGGATTCTTTACTGTTTTAGCCATCAGGGAAGCCCAAAGATTAAGGGCTTTGCTTTTTGAACACTATTCTAGATGTTTCCATTGCCAAATATACTCTTCCATGCTTTATAACAATAAGTAATACAGTCATTTTGACAGAAGTAAGATTTGTTAATAGCTCTCTAGGTATTTTAGGCCAGAGGCAAATCACTGGTTTTTGGTCTTGAGGAGACACCCCAGGAGACTGAGGAACTAGCCAAGGCTAGTGGTCCAGGTCAAGGAACTCATCAAGGACCCATGTGTCTCTGAGATTTTGGCTCTTTCTACACTTTACTTGCAGTTTTCTTTCTCAAGCTCATAAGATGACTATTGCCCTCCAGGTGTGAAGTCATTATTTCAAGCAGGAAGAAGGGGGAAGGTCAAAGGGAAATAAATGCATGTGAGCTGAGTCTGTTTTTAGTGGGAAAATGGGAGCTGTTCCAGGAATATAGGCATCTACCAACATCCCATTGTTCAGATCCAGGTCACTTCACCAGCCTTAGTTGTAAGGGGCCCTGAGGAGATGAGAGTTTATAGCTGGATACACTGTCACCTTGAACAAGATTAGAGTTCGTTAATAAGAAAGAGGGAGGTATGGATATGGACAGCCAATTAGCATGCCTGTCTCACTTGTTTAGCTAATTTTGAAGGCATCTTTCTCAAGAATTCTGATGCCCAGTGGTGGGAAGTTAGGAAAGTTAGGTGATTCTGAGTTAGTAACAGCTCTCTAAAGCAGCTTTTAGTCTAGCTTGTCTGTCTTCCCCAAGTGAAGTGGGAAAATTTTTCTGGAATTTCTCTTTCCTGGTTCCTTTTCCCAACCTAGTGTTTCCTTGACTCAATTGTCTCACTGCTGGGGCAGTAGATCCTTCCTGGTAAGGACAGAATCATCATCTTGGACAGGTGTCCCTAACTAATCCTAGGAGCAGTTGACTGAAATGTCCCAGGATAATTCATTGAGCAAGATCCCTGGACCACTGATGGGCCGTAAATTGTCACCTGTGTTCTTCTACCTGGTAAGTTGGATATTGAGGCTAAGAGAGAGCACTGAGACATTCTACCTTGAGAAAAGTTTTCTGCCAATAATGTCATCATGAGATATTCAGAAAGAAGAAAACATTGGTTTTGAGCTGGGAGTTTCATTATCTTTACTTCTCTCTCACCCTTCATGTTTAATTTTTGGTTGAAATTGCATTTCAGGTTTGCACATCATACCATCCAGATTTACCAGAGCACCATCCCCTAATTGGCTGGTTTCCCTGCGTCCCCAGTGGAAATAGACCTCAAGATGAAGGGAGTAAGCAGCCAAAAGGTAGCCTGCAGAGAGAGGATGAGGTTTGGCTCAAAGTAAGTGACCCAAATGTTTTTTAGTGAAAACTGGATAGATTGTGCTTGTTTGTGTGTGTGTGTGTGTGTGTGTGTGTGTATGTGTATAAATGATACATTGGAATGTCAGGAAATTTCCTTTTGTCATCTGAAAGTTTTTATGTTTTGAATTTATTTTCATTTCTTTTTGAATGTTGAACTTTTCTTTATAAGCAATCACTCTATCAAAGTGTAATACTCATATAGAAAACTGCAAAAATCAGAACTGACTGATAAAGTTTTACAAAGTAAACATCCTCTCTAACCACCACAGAGATCAAAAAACAGAAAATTAACATCACCCCCAAAAGGCTCTCTCATTCCCCCTCTCATTATACTACAGAGGTATCTACTATTTTTCCTTCTATCACCAAAGATTAGTTTTGCCTGTTTGTATTTTATCTGAAAAATTTGACAGTCTGTAGTATTTGTGCTGATTCTTTCTTACTCAGCATTCTATCTGTGGGATTCATTCAGGCTGCTCTACTTAGCAGCAGTTTTCATGTCCACTGCGGTGCAGAATTCCAGTGGGTCAATGGGCCATACTTTAATTAATCATAGTAATGAACCTTTAGTTTATTTCTAATTTTTCTCTATTGTATATTACAAATAGTTCTGCTATAAATGCTTCTGTACATTTCTTTTGGTGAATGTATACAGACAGTTGGGTATATTTGGAACTGCTAGATGGTAATTAGGCAGATGATCTGCTTTAGTAGTTAATACCAAATGGTGTTCCACTTGGTTATACTAGTTTATACTCCCAACAGAGGTTTATGAGTATTCCAGTTGCTTTATATTTTTACTGATTACTTGGTATTTTAAGTCTTAATTTTAACCATTAAGTATGTAAATGTACCTCCTTATGGTTTCAATTTACATTTACATGTTGACTAATGAAGTTGTAATGTTTATATGTATATTGGCCGTTTGTGTTGATTTATCCTTTTTTCCCTCTTTTTTTCTGAAGGGTTTATTCAAGTCTTTTGCTCAATTTTCTATTGGACTGTCATTTTCTTCTTAATTTATAGGATTTTTTTACAATTTTCAGAATATATAAATCATATTTCAGTTGTATATTATTTAATATTTTCCAGCACTCCATGGCTTACTTTTTTTAAAAACTCTTAATGGTATATTTGACGAAGAGTTCTAAATTTTACCATAGTCCAATTTATCTTTCTTTCTCTTTATGGTTAGTGCTAATCGTGTACTGTATGAAGAAGTCTTTACTCACCACAAAGACATACTTTCCTATGTTATCTTCTAGAAATGTTATTGTTTCACCTTTTATATATAGATCTACAATCCTCTGGAATTTTTACATATTGTGTGAGCTAGGGATCAAGATTTTTTTCCCCCTAGAACTAGAACCACCGTTGAAAGTGAAAGTGTAGTTGCTCAGTCGTGTCTGATTCTTTGTGACCCCATGGACTATAGCCCACCAGGCTCTTCTGTCCATGGAATTCTCCAGGCAAGAATACTGGAGTGGGTAGCCATTTTCTTCTCCAGGAATCTTCCTGACCCAGGGATCAAACCTGGGCCTCCTGCATTGCAAGCAGATTCTTTATCATCTGAGCCACCAAAATAACAACTTGAAGGCAATATGTAATCCTTTGCCAATAGTTTTGAATCCTTTTTGTGAATATATTAAGTGTTTTTTCATTTATATTAATTAGAGCTTCATCCCTACTTTAAAAAAGAAAAATTTTTACTTTCTTGTCAGGTTTATGATGAAGGCCAGGTTTGACTCCTGGAGTAAGTTTCCTTTTTTTCCCTAGTTTTCTGGAATATTTTGTGAAAGGTTGGTGTTAAATTTTGGCGGACTTCATCAGTAAAGCTATCTGAGTCTGGTATTTTCTTTGAGGAAAATATTTAAATATGTGTTAAAATCTTAAACCAAATATTGGAGAATTGGGGCTTTCTATTTCTTCTTAGGTCAACTTTGGAAAAAGTAATTTTTTTTTCCAAATAATTTGTCCATTTTTTCCTAAAATTTTTGATTTATTGGCATTAAGTTTTTCATAATGCTCTCTTATTTTGTATATTTCTACACTCCCTAGGACTTTTTTTAGTTATTCTATTGCTAATTTTTGGCTTCTTTTATTTTTTTGTTTAGTATTGCTAAAGACTTAACAGTTATATTAATCTTTTATCAATGTTTTTATAGAACCAAAGATTATACATGTGTGTATATATGTACCCATATATATACATATACATTAATATACATATATAAACCTAAAAGGAAGAAAACAATGAAAGTAACATACATGTGTACTCTTATTTTCATTATTGCCTCCTTTTATGTTTATATTTGATTTGCTCTTGAGATGATGCTTAGATCATTAATTTTTAGTTTCTTTCTTTTTAAAATATAAATATTAAGGTGACAAGTTTCCTTCTAAATGTGACTTTAGCAACATATTGCATTTCAAATGTCTTATTTCTATTATCATTCAGTTCAAACATATTTTCTAATTTTTATTTGACTACTTTTTTGATCCTTGCTGCTGCTGCTGAGTTATATATAAATATGCTGATGAACGTCCAAACATTTGTTTGGAAACTATTTTTTTGTTTTTGATTTATAGTTGAGTCTTCTGTGCTCAAAGATTATATTTGGTGTGATTTCAAGCCTTTGTAATTTGTTGACCTTTGAATTATGGAAAAATATATGGTTAATTGGGCTTCCCTGGTGGGTCAGTGGTAAAGAATCCACCTGCCAAATAGGAGATGTAGGTTTGATCCCAGGTTTGGGAAGATCCCCAGAGAAGGAAGTGGCAACCCTCTCTAGTATTCTTGCCTGGAAAATCCCATGGATAGAGGAGCCTGGCAGGTTACAGTCCATGGGGTCACAAAAGAGTTGGATGCAACTTAGTGACTAAACAACAATATGGTTAATATTGATAAATATTACATGTACTTTGAAAGAAATATGTAGCCTGAAATAGTTGGATATAGGATTCTATATTTTTAACATAGATCAAGTTCATCCATCATGTTAAAATTTCCCATATTGTATATTTTCCTTGAAATTCTTTCTATCAGTTACTGAGATATAAGTGTTAGACTTTATTAATAATCATAAATTTGCCTGTTTCTCTTTTATTTTTGCCAGTTTTTTATTTACACATTGATTTATTTGCATTTTGAAACTATTATTAAATATTCAGGCAATTCTCACTTTGTAGCATGGAAACACAAAATGACCATGTGTCCTAAAACTGTACAAAGTAAGCTAAATAATCAATGGGGAAAATTACAATTGTTACATGATATTTTTGTCACAACATTAAAAACTTTTATTTTTAGAAGTATATGTGAAATGAAATGAAAAAATAGTAAAATTTAGCTCATTATAATTTAAAACATTACAGAGAATTAAAGTGTTTCATTTCTTTGTAAAAAATTTATAAGTATAGTTTTAACAGTTCTTGCCTTTTTATTTTTTATTTTTTGCATCATATGACTTATATTACAAAGCAAGTGATTTTTCTATACTGTTGTGAATTGTAATATTCCTTTCCAAGTTTGATCATCTTCCAACATTTTATGGTACTTTGCACTTTCAACGTTATGAAACATCTCTGAGAGTTCTTTTAATATGAATTTTTTCTTGGCATCATTTCCTCTGGGACATCTTTATCCTTTTTGTCACAACCACTTTTCTCCTTTTTGCTGATAATTTCATTTTCACTAAGTTCCTCTGGCTGCAAATACAGAGTCTCTCAAACAGCAGCAGCATCAGCATTCCTGTACTCAATTATTTCATCTGTAATTCTGTTTACCTTTCATTCAAATTTCACCTCTAGCATTATAATTTTTTGTTTCTTTGCTGCACTTTCATCTTCCCTAGAGGATCCCTTCTTTTGATTATCCATTTTTTGTAAAATGTCATGTGGGTAATATGTCAGTGGGAGATGAGACAATGCAACTACACATTTTTCTGTCTCTGTGTGAACAGAATAACAGGTACACAGGGACCATTCAATGACAATTTAAAAGAACAGATGTAATTAGTCACTTTATCATGATTCTCATTGGTTATTTATATGGTGATTTGTGGACGAAAGGACTATTAGTGGAGTTTATACTTTTTGCAGTTACAATTAATATTTTTTGCTAATTGAAATTTGAATCACATTATCTGGTATTACATAACTAAATTGTGATAACTGATATTTGTGAATATGGAAAGTACATAAAGTGAAACTACTGTCAATAGATAATTTTAGAACTTATTACATCTTCCTTGTGGATTATCTCTTTTAACACTAAGAAATGTCTATCTCTAAGAATATTTCTTGCTGCACTATAAACTTGGTATAATATTAGTATAGATATATATTTTTGTTTGTTTGCATATTGTTTCCTCTTCCATTCTATTACTTTTAATCCTTCTGTGAAATTATATTTAATATACTTTATTTGAAATCAACATATCTTTATATATATGTAAAAAATATAAATAAATCTAAGAAATCACCATATATATAAATCTAAAATTTTTTATTTTCCAATTGTAGTATTTAGTCTAATTACATTTAATGTAATTAATGATGCTTCCCTGGTGACTCAGTGGTAAAGAATCTACCTGCCAGTGCAGGATGCAGGAGATGTGGGCTTGATTCCTGGATCAGGAAGATCACTTGGAAGGAAAGGGCAGTCCACTCTAATATTCTTGCCTGGGAAATCCCATGGACAGAGGAGCTTGGCAAGCTACAGTGTGTGGGGTCACAAAAGAGTCAGAAACAATTTAGCAACTAAGCAGTTTTAAATTTACCAGCGAATCATTTGTTGCTCACTTTTCCCTCATAATTTGTATTTTCCTATTTCTTGCCCTTTTTAGATTAAATCAATTCAGTTCAGTCACTTAGTCATGTCCAACTCTTTGTGACCCCATGGACTGCAGCACACCAGGCTTCCCTGTCCATCACCAACTCCCTGAGCTTGCTTAAACCCATGTCCATCGAGTCGGT